TGGCCGTAAAAGCACTGTAGAGCGATGGCCGCCACTCATAAATGACTTCAAATATTCCCGATTATGATTGAAAAGACTAGGGCTCGAGTCTAATTTTAAAGTCCCATATCAGGCGTCGTTGTACTGGTTTTAAGCTACGCCAGTATAATAACAGCAAATAAACCAGAACTGGCCAGTCCCGTCCTCTCCCATATCACTTATCGATTATTGCTTGCTGGTTCGTATGCTGGGCACTTAAGTGGAACTGCGGTGTAAAATACAATTGCTTGTATTTTATTGTGCTTGGGAGAAGCCATCAAACATCATTCATGTGTTACTTTCATTAAAGTATGCGCAGTTACGCCGTATGTTGTGGTGTTTGAACTTGTGCGTCATATCTCATTCCTGCGTAATACATTTATCCATATTCACACCGGGCAATCCGATTGCAATGGCTTCTTTTGTTTCCTTGCAGCTCAAAGATGGTGTATGGATGCCACTGGATGTTGGTGAGCTAAATAAATTCCTCAAAACGGTAAAGCCCGTCGAAGTAGATGATGCGATTACTGACCTGGATGAACTCTTTGGCATAATAAAACAAACTCTGTGTACAACAGAAAAGGTTCTGCGCTTGATTTTCATTTACACCAGCCTTTCATCCGTACCAGTGTGTCCTCGGTCAGTGTCCTTCTTAAAGGATCAAGAGGCCTTCATTGATGTCATCTATTACGAATGCCCTGTCCGCGATGGGCAACAAAGCGTATGTTTATAGTTCATCCTTCCATAACACTTGCCGCCGAAGCCACTATTTTTCCCCTGAGTTCCAACTCAGGTCCCCTTTTTTCGCTCGCAGAACATACTACGCGTTTCAAATGGCCACGGTGTGGTTGCCCTGCCTATAGGCTTCAGCGACGTCAACTAACTTGTGTTAAGAAGTCTTAGTTGTTTCCCTCGTCTCCTTAATTGTCCTTCAATAACTGTTCTGCGTCAGTCTTTTGAAGTTCACCCTTCGAAGCAAATGCTGTTAGTTCTACTAACTCAAATAATCTCATTGGTATCGGAGTACCGTGACGATTGATAACACGAACCGGCACTTCTATGAACCAGTCTGGGGGCGAGTAGTATGTATATAGTAGTGAAAATATAAGGCCCACGAAACATGTCAGAAGAAGAGGCTTTCATCAGGCGGGGTTAGTTGAAGCTTTGACGTTGCAAGTAGTCGTTTCACCTATCCCACCGGAAATTAGTGCATACAGTTTGATG